ATTTTGTATGTCTTTCGAAAGTGGAAATCCGCATTACAAACTGCAACTAGCGATCGCCTTCGCGAATTCATCAGCGCGGAATTAAAGTAGCCTATAATATTCCCGTGTACATCAGCTAGCTCCACGTCTAAGTCCCGTCAAAATTGGTTCAGCTGCTCCGGAGATTACTTGGAACAAACGCGGCCTTGCGGACCGGACCACATACTTACTCCGCTGCCGCAGCGACCCAAAGAGGGTCTTGGCCTCCGACACAAGACATCGCCAAAGTTGTCTTGCGCCTTCTCCTGCCAGTCCGACGACGACATATAGGCAACAATTTTAAGAATTGGTTTCTTGTTGTTCGCTTCGCAAATAAATAATGTGTACGAAAAATATATATTTTTTTATAGGCACTCTGAGTTTATTATTATATATAGGTAAACAAAATTTAATATTGCCAGGAGTAATGAAATTGCGAATTCCCCTCGCTGAACTAGACGGGCTCCCCTCGGCCTTGTCCGCGGCCAGACGGGTTTGCCCCCACTTACCTACCTGATGTACCGTCTCAACTCTCATATTCTGATCAATACCATGAATAAACGAGACATATGTTGTTTACTACTCGTGTAATGTGTTTGGAATTTTATGTACGTGCCCTGGGTTTACCATATCTGATTTATGAAAGAATATAAGAGGGATTTTGTTTTTAACAGTCAGTTTAGTGATTGACATTGAAAATTCATGTCTACAAACGTAGTTAAGATACTTTAGTAAAAGAAAAATAGAATTAGATGGAACAAAACTGTGTTCGGCCTGAAGTTTACTCACAATTATACCGTTATATTTTCTAAATAATGAGAAAAAAAAACCACAAAAAACTCCTTCGAGCCGGATTTGAACCAGCGACCTATGGATGTCTTGTGGCGATACCTCTACAGTCCACCGCTCTACCAACTGAGCTATCGAAGGTGTGGGCGATGATGCGAAATTATAAACAATATTCCACATCCACTGTGAATGAGTTAATATTGCATCACGAATGGAAATTTTTCCTTATGTACTTAGTTAACGACCATTGTTTTTTAGTAAATAGTAGATTTAATATGCAGTATAATTAAGTAAATATTCTTTCATGGAAAAATATATGCGTCTGGGGTAGACAGTGGTAGAAAAATTATTTTCACTTTTTGATCAAAAACTGGTGTTGAGCAGGCCTGATACTTGTTTTAAAATATCAAGAAGAGTGTACTAAGTGCAAATTGTAGGGTGACCAATTACAACATTTTATATCGAGACTTTTCCATTTACTTTTTATTTATATGTCCAAAAGGCGATGGAAATATGTTAACAATCCAGACAGAAAATATGTATAACATAGTCCAACTCCATTGTATACTCGTTGCCAAGTTTGGCATTGATTTAATCCATAACATTCTGCATGCAATCGCATTACTATGTATGTTACTATTTTATATACTCGTTGCTATTTACCTACTATCTATAAGTTAATACTATTTATTGTGGGTTTTCACTAATACCTTTTAACAGAAAAGATCCATAACGCATGGAATGTTTCAATTAAACTGTTGTCTATAAATGTAATAGTAGGCAGAGAATTGTTAACCGAATCGAGTGGCCATTGTGGGGCAAAACAGCGTCCGACGACGCAAAAATTATCGGGTGTGTCAGTCGATTGCCCGGTTCGGTGCGCGTTCGACGGCGACGCGACGCTGAGTGACGCATCGCTACGTGTATCATGTCGTGGCATTCGCATTCCATATTCAAATTATAACTTTTTAATTAATATTTTTTTTTATCTCTCATCGTTCACAAGTTGACAAGTGTATTTTTAATTAGTGTACGAGTAATATATGTTTTTTTAATTTACATTTTCTACCTAAAGGAAATCTGAATGTTATTATGAAAGAAGTGTCTAAGTTTTTTAAACAAGTTATAAAATTAAGTAATTGAGTAATTTTTAACTGCATGTTTGGCGTACGTGGCATAGATAATAAGTACCTAGTTTATTTCGTTGTAGCCCGTGTCTCTCAGATTCATTATTATTCTAAGGTTAGAATATTGTTTACATTTGGTACTGTGATCGCTTAGACGAACTTATGCGTTATAATGGTAATAGTTTTACGTATAACAGATTATTTCTTGTGATTCATAAAAATTAAAATTCTTTTGTCACATGAGACTTTTGATTTTTTATATTGATTTTTCACTAAATTAAATACAACTTTAATTTATAATTTTTTTCATCAATGTAAGCAATAATTTTGACATTTTAGAATATTATGAAAGGCAAGGCAATAAAAACTAATGTACCTATTTGCTATTATTTTTTTTTTATTAAGGCGAAAGTAAATTTAGCCTATCATAGTTACGTCATTGTGGCGTTGTTTGCATGACCTGTGAGGTCTGACCTCTTATCGCCACACGCGAGTTCGTCTGCGCCACTGTTGACATATACTAGTTGTAACCTACGGATATATCCATATAATTCAATAAATTAAATGTTAATACTTAAAATAATCCTAACCTATAACCTCGCATAAATAATATTAATAACACATAACCTGTAAAATGCAAAAAGAATTTTTTGAAATACTTTGGATAATTACTGAGATTATCGCGATAAACATACAAACTATTTTTAGGGTTCCGTACCTCATAGGTAAAAAACGGAACCCTTATAGGATCACTTTGTTGTCCGTCCGTCTGTCTGTCAAGACCCTTTTTCCTCAAAAACGCGTGAAGGTATCAAGCTGGAATTTATTCTTTATAGTATAGACTGGCCATAACAGAGCATTTCTTCGTTTCTTATAGATTAGAATATTCAGTTAGTTGCTAATATATAATGTAAATCTGATTCAAGGCACGTAACCTGAGGGCATTAAGGACTCGCTTTTCAATGCTTTAAGAATAATTAACTACTCTCCTTACAACATAAATGAATATAACATTTTCAATCTAAGCAACCTTAAGTACTAAAATGTTAAGTTATTAAATCTCTTTGTTAATTTATTATGAAACTAAATGTCGCCCGAAACACCGTTCGCGCGGCATTAAAAAAAAAATAATTCCAGCTTGATACCTTCACGCGTTTTTAAGAAAAAGGGTCTTGACAGACAGACGGACGGACAACAAAGTGACTCTATAAGGGTTCTGTTTTTTCCCTATGAGATACGTAACCTAAAAACGTAATAAGTAGCCTGTTTTCTTCAAGACTATTTTCTACATCCATACCAAATTTCATCGTGATTCGTAAATCATTCTGGATACTTTTAACCATCCATCCATTCATCTAAACATTCACATTTCTAATATTAATTAGATGGATATGATATTTTAATTATTATAAAGGTTGATGTGTGAAATTATTATGTTATGTTTTAATAACGATTATTTTTATACATCCATTGAATCATGTTAGTTTACATTTATCACACGAATGTTTATAATTATAAGACGTTTTTATAACATTCAGATAACCTTAGAGAGGACAATTGTTTTAAAATAATAAGTTTATTCTGTAGTACTGTTGTCAAGTGATGTATTCAAACAGTTAAGTGGTACAGATTAAAAATGATGTACAGTTTTGACAAGGATCTGTGGCATGTAAGGTCTCGGGTGCAGTCAGAAACACAGGAACCTGAACCGACACAACGTATGTTTTATTGCAATTTGATTTAATTTGTTTATTAATTTTTTTCGCATTTACGAAAGGCAATATCGCCGAATATGTCTATAACTGTGTTAGAGCCCGCTTTAACATCTTCGCACGAACTGGCTTGGCTCGCCCGGTGAAATACCACGACCACACAGAAGACAGGCGTCAAGTGGAAGCAATTCCGCGTTTCATCTGATGATTACTTATAAGGAAAGGATGGGAAGTGGAAGTGGACTTTCCGGATGAGAGGATGCGTGGAAAGGTGAAAAAAAATTTCTTTCTCTGCATACTGTCCTCCGTCGATTAAAGGTAGGTACACATAAGCTATTGCGTATGTCTATGGGGAACGGTCACTTCGCTATTTTAGGGATTTCAGGTGGCCGCTCGGTCGTTTGTCACCTTATGATATAAAAAAAACATAATATTAATAACAGCGATATCTATTGAAATTTGTGTCAAAGTTAAATTAAACGTGTACTAAATGTACTGTTAATATGATAAGCTGCTCCCGATGCATGACCTTGTGTCAGTACTACGCGAGGCGTGCTTGGCGTACCCATTGTCTATTAAGTCACTGGAGGTCACCGTCATAGATATTATTCCAAACAAATAACTATCGTAAGTTCGGATCGACTCAGAACGAAAGCGAAGTGGAACCAACGCGAAATATAAACAGAAGATAGAACTCTCAACTAAAGGGGTCACTGGAACAAACCAAATCTGTAAAGTTCTTATCATTTGGTTCAGTTTCGTAGCAGTGTGCTAGGTTTACAAAGGCAATTAAGTTACAAGCAACCAGTGCTACTTGACGTTCTCGTATCCAGGAGATAAATATATGTCTATCGAGATTTTCATTTGAGCTACAATACATATAAATTGCACAAAATATTTCTCTATTTCAATTACAAAATAGAATGTGCAGACAGGACAGACTTTATCAGAGTTCTATCGATCTGGGGGGGATCCACACCCCCTTTTTAAGCCCCCATTCGTCGAGAGTCCTTGGGGCTAGAACTTGTTTTTATTATACGTACTGTCCCTCTGCAACAAACGTGGGAAAGAGTAATCAATGATAGCTACTTAGAGATGCGAATTTTTAGAGTTTCTAAGTATTTAATCGAAGAAGGAATTATATCGTCATATACAATATGCGTATGTCATTGTCCAAATACGTTTGGTCAGTTCAATTCTTTTTAAACTCTACAGTAAACCAGTTTGATACGTGTTAGCGAATGAGTGTTTCGACAAAACTTATTCTGATCGATCTCTTGGCACTGTGTACATTCCTGTAGACGTAAGATATGTTTATATTATGATAAACAATTTAATTGTATGTCGGTTGCAGGCAGCGAGAGTCCGACGAGCGCGGTGGGGGCGGAGGCCCCGCGGGAGCTTCCCAATGAGCTGTCGGCGCCCTACGAGGTCCCGCAGTTCCCTATTGAACAAATCGAGAAAAAACTACTTATACAACGACAGCTTAATGTAAAGTAAGTAAAAAAAATACTAATTAAATTGAAAGTTTATAAAGAAAACATTTTCAAACATTTTTTTTCGTTGGGTGTGACGTCGTTATGATATACCAATGTATTTTATGTGATATGAATGAAAATAAAACGAGCGCCCTACATGTGAGTGAAGTAAGTCGCCGGTATTATTAGTGTCAAGTAATTGGATTAACCTTGAAGCGACAGTAACCCTTACTGCGGGGGATGCTCGGGTCCGTTCCGAGTGTGATTGCATTTCGGTACGCAGCTCGCGTCGCGACGGCTGTATGACGCGTTGACTTTTGTCTCTGACTGAATTAAAAATACGTCTGTCATATTTTTGGCGGGAAGTGATACTTTACATTTTTCTATTTAAAATCTGCTAAAATGTGTGTGATTAGTTAACTTTCCTTTTTATTATGTTTGGGAGTAAAGTTGAGTGTAAGCGATGGACTTCGACAAGGAATTATAGGTATTTTATTTCTACTATTTAACAATATGTTTGAGGCTTATGAGGAATATTTTTAACTTATTCATTTTACTTTTTGTTTAGATATTTATATTAATTCCTATTTCGCAATGTCCAAGTAAGTCCTGAATAATCTACTTGGAACTTATTTATCAAATGAAGTCGTCGTTGCGTTTCACAATCTTCAAATAAGCCGTTTAGCGCAAACTATTTTGACGGAAAGTGTTATTAATTTATTTATTAGTTAGTTATCCAGCTGTTTACTAAGACATAGTGAAACAGGTCGTAAGTGTAATTAAATTTCAACTGTTTCTACTTGATTTCATTTTCTTATTTTTGTAACAAGCTTCGACATTGTTTAGTCTACAGTCGTGAGTTCTGCGCTTTGTATCTCTTGCGTTTCGATATGTGCCAATGTCCTACGTTGAAGACGAATTCCAAATTGCACTATAAAACATCGTTTTGTTGTAGTTAAATCGATTTTATTGTTTCATAAGATAAAGCTGATTATCGTATACATATAATTAATATTAGTAAACTATTTAAGATCTTTGTTATAAAGATGACATTATTTTTGTAATTCGTCATTGTATACTCATAGGTTCATAACATCAGGCGGACTCGGCATGGTGTTAAATAATAGCCAGCCGCGACTTAATCCCCACAAATTGACACACGAAGCCGTACAGCTGATGCTGACTCGTGTATGCCAATAATTATATAAAAAAAAAACAAATTAAAACGCCTCGTATTTGCTGTTCTGAGTTTAAATGTCATGGATTGCCAGACAGATAAAACAAATGACAGGTCGAGTGGGCCATTAGTGCAGCATCTAATGCTGGGGAATCAACCGCTGTTATTAGACTTTTATACTCAACCCAAAATTGTGCTCTGTAGTAAATCGCGCGAAGTTAAGAGTGGCCAAAACATCTGAAAACAGTAATATCGCCAATCTATTGGTATTACACGTAGCATTGTCAATATTAACACGTCCAATGCCACCGACTCTCCTGTCTGTTCGAGTTTATGGCGAAAATATGGTAGTGTCCAGGAATAGTGGTACAATGTGAGAGGTGTATCGGATTGCAACCTCTAATTCTGCGAGCTATCGCCCACGCGTGGTCACGGTATCAATGGCCGAGAATGCAACGCCTACGTCACGGTAGATTAGGAATTGCTTAGTTAGATTATGTAGAAATTTATCATACTGTGGTAGCCATAATGTTCAATTCAGTTATTGATCCTGTTAGAATATTCGAGTGAAGTAGAAGTAATATTTCTGTGTCGTCTGTATAAATTGAAAACAGTAGCACGGCATCCAAAGTGTTAAAATCCCTTGTAACAAAACAATATTTACAATATTATTTAATTGAGCACTATTCGGGACTACATTTCGTTGTTAAACTTCCCGCGCGATTCTTTTCTCTTTTACTTATCTTTTTTTTTTAATTAAAAAGGCAAAGGTTTGTGGACAGTATGCCACGTCTTTGGCAGAATGTCAAATTCTGCCCTCAACGTCGTCAACTAGTTGAGTACATATTCGTCCTTTATGTATAGCTCTTTAAATTAAACAATTGATAAGGAAGAATTAATCCTGTCGAAAAAAAAGCTTGTTAACAAAGCTTATGACTCAAAGCAAACAATAATTGTTTGCGATTCAAGTGTTAAGGCGAAGTTACAAAACAAATAATTAGTCACATTTGTTGATTTACTCGCGTACCGTTCTGATTAACTACGTCGTAGTTTGATTAATGTCCCTTACAAAATTATATTTATATTTACTCAATTTAAGAATTCCAGAATGAATTCGTGCATTTCAAGTAATTTTTAATAGTCTTTTAGTAGTCCATATCTCACAATTCCGTTTACGTCTTGTTACTTTAGGGCAGCGGAATGCGGTCAGTCGGTGCGCTCGTTTGCGGGCAGCGAGGCAGGCGCGCTGGAGGAGGCCGCGCGGCTGCGTTTGGCCGACGAGGACGAACTCGACGTTGTATTACCACACTTCCAGCGTGTCGCCATCAGCGGGGAGGATACATCAGGGGTAAAGATCAACCCCATCACCTAACCCATAATATATTTACCACACTTTTGCATATATGAACTAAACCGTCACCACAATACTTATAAAAATAATAGGAACGAAATCAAGCAAAGCATATGAATTATAAAAAGGGTTGGTCATAATTCAAGAAAACTGCGTGATATTAAATGTTTACACTTTACGCGACCTAAACTTAAGGTCATGAACATTCACTCAAGCAAGCGCATACATTAACAGTTCATTACACTTTGATTTCTCTTAGTTACGTCGAGCGCGTCTTTCGCAGGTACCGCTGGAGGATCTTCAGCAAGCCTCCTCGTATCTGGTACAGGCGTTGGAGATCCGCAAACGGTACATGGAGATGTCGCAGCAGAGTTACGCCACCATCACCGCGCGTTTCGTGCGCAGTATGGACGCTGACGCTCCCGCTAACCATACACCCAGTACTAAAGTACCGAGGAGTCATATTGCTGGTGAGACTACCATCCATCACCACACAAAACACAATATTACCAATTCTTTAGGACCTTTTACAATTACTACAACAACCAAACAATTTCAGTGGTCATCTTGAAAAGGCTAAAGTCAAGATTTGAAGGGTGTGGTTGACGTCCTCGGGATAATTTCCTTGTGTTAATTCATTCGTTTCTAGTAAGCAGTTTACCAACTACAACTTTCCTTTACACAGACCACATAGTGCACCCGCCGTTCAGGGACAAGGATCCGTGGGAGTGCCCGATGCCGGCGGCCAAGGGGTACAGCATCAGGTCGGATGACGGCGTGTTCAACCTGTACCGAGCGCGCCAGGGGGAGGTACAGGGGGAAGGGGACGGGTCAGGGGAGGAGCGAGTGCCCTACGAGTATGTGACACTCAGCCAGTACATACAGGATATGAACACTATGTGTAATATGATTGCTGATGGACCACTGTGAGTAAACTTCTGTACAGTATTAATTTTTTAGCGATTCACTAAAGAGGGTCTGTCTTTCTCACCTCCTAGTCGATTTTTTTTTTAATTCATTTCTTAAGTATGTGTTGTCATTTGTTTTAAATGTATAATAAAATTTAATATTTTAGTATAATATACTATCCATGTGTTGTAACATTTGAGCGTTGGTGGCTTAGGGATGACTTGACTTGCAATCTGCAGGTCTTGGGTTCGAATCCCACTTTGGTAGATGTGTTTTTTCATAGAAATTCACAAATATGTGTGAAGTCAATCCACATTGGATATGCGTGGTTGACTATGGCTAGTCACTCCAGTATAGTGTAGCCTCTAAACCCCTGGAAGGCGACGTAAAGTGAGCTGATGATGATGTTCTTGTTTGCAGCAAGTCGTTCTGCTACCGTCGTCTGAGTTACTTATCGTCAAAGTTCCAGCTGCACGTGTTGCTCAATGAGTTACGCGAACTTGCCTCGCAGAAAGCTGTGCCGCACAGAGACTTCTACAATATCAGGTAACACACGACATACGACATACATAAGGGTGTGTTCACATTTAGCGAATACTTTGTAAGTCGCACGCGTACATTCGCTAAATGTGGACGCACCCTTATACGAGAGACAAACACAAAACATCTTACTCATATTATAAATGCGAAAATTTTCATGGATGGATGTTTGTTTGAAGGTATCTCCAAAACGGTTTAACGGATCTTGATGAAATTTTGCACAGATGAAGAACATAGTCTGGAAGAACACATAGGATACTTATTAAGTTTGATTTTTAGTATAAAGTTTATTTGATACAGTATAAATTATTAGCTTATGTCTTAGTTTAAATATATTGATTATTTATATAAGTAAATAGCTAATTAGTTAAAACTATATTTTTTCCGCGCGGACGAAGTCGCGGGCGACAGCTAGGCGCTATATACATATATTTGACACAAGAAATTGCGCGGTAGTAATCTTGATGTATTGTAATTGACTAGGAAAATATAAAAAATGCGTAAATTTTTGCTTCGGATTTCGAATAATTAAGTTATTCAAAACGATTCTTTTTTATAAATTTGCAGAAAAGTGGACACGCACATCCACGCCGCGTCCTGCATGAACCAGAAACATCTGTTGCGTTTCATTAAGAAGACGCTCAAGAATCATGCTGATGAGGTAATACATCAATTTTATCACCAATTAACACATTGAATGCCACTGGTAATTTCGATGTACCTACATTTATTCGAGTTTCCTACGGTGAAGGAAAACATCGTGATGCTGCACATATCTGAGAAGAAATTCAAAGATATGTGTGAAGTCAACTCGCACTGGGCCAGTGTTGACTATGGCCTAGTTACGCCTAACTCAGGATAGGCTCAGAACCCCTCAGACTTATAGGAAACTCGCCGGGAGAGTGTCGCAGTCAACGTGTTATATTTGAAACTATTAATTTGCTATATTTTTGTGACCAGGTGGTAACACTCCACAAGGGTACACCGATGACACTGAAGGCGGTGTTCCAAAGCATGAACCTCAGCACATACGACCTCACTGTCGACATGCTTGATGTTCACGCGGTCAGTATATTTAACACTATTGATTTCCCGCGACTTTGTCAGCGTAGAATTAAAAAAATAGCCTATAACATGCCCACTTACATCAGCTATCTTCCAGTCCAAGTCCCGTCAAAATAGGTACAGCCGTTTCGAAGATTATCAGGAACAAACGCAGACATACGGACAGACTACAGACAGAAAAAAAAATAGTTTTTTGTTTCAGTATTATAGATTTTTTCTTAGCTGATAAGGTCGAGGGAAACTGGTATAAAAGTAGCTAATATTATAAATTATTAAAAAAAATTACCAGAAACATAATGTAATTTCACAGTTTTAATTCATTGAACCCATATACCCATACTAAGATTAAGCAAATACAATGAAAACCCAGCTTTACGACTAGTTTTATCGACCAGGATCGCAACACGTTCCACCGCTTCGACAAGTTCAATGCTAAATACAACCCGATCGGTGAGAGCAGACTGCGCGAGGTCTTCCTCAAGACTGACAACTATATGAACGGGAAATACTTCGCAAGGATCATCAAAGTAAGTCTGAGCAATGCGATAAAAAAAAAGTTATTTTCCTTCCTGCACCCCTCTTAAGGTTTATAGCGTGATGATAAATAGCCTATAACCTTCTTTAATAATTGAACTTTCAAATACATATAGTTCAAGTAAGACAAAAGTCAAGTGTCAGAAGCTTTCAAAAGAAAGCGCGCCATTCTCGCCAAATGATTCTAACTAATAATGTGTGAATAGGAAGTGGCATCAGACTTGGAGGAGAGCAAGTACCAGAACGCGGAGCTGCGGCTGAGCATCTACGGCAAGAGCGCGGGCGAGTGGGCGAAGCTGGCGCGCTGGGCCATACAGTACCACGTTCACTCTAACAACGTGCGCTGGCTCATACAGATACCGCGACTCTAGTCAGTATTACCTCTCTTATACCTTCCTTTTTTATTTTACAGCTTTTCCAACTTCTAAATAACGTATCACAGATTAAAAAAAAATAGACAAACCAAGGCAGGTACTATGGTCTGAACGTAAAGAAATTTTATTCTTATCTTTTATTAGCTGTCGCTCGCGACACCGACCGTGCGGAATTAAAAAAAAAACTATTGGTTACAGCGTAATGTTATATAGCTTAAAGCCTTCCTCTATAAATGGACTATTTAACAAAAAAAGAATTTTCCAAATCGGACCAGTAGTTCCTGAGATTAGCGTTTAGACAAACAAACAAACTTTTCCGCTTTATAATATTAGTATACATATATAAGAAATAGTGATTTATTGAAAACATTTCTTTTTTTGACTCAAATTCGAACGAAATATATTTCGTTTAATTTCTTTCATATCATCTTTTAAAAAGCCACCCTCAGTATAGTTTCATTGGACACTAAAAATAGAATAAATATGAGAAATCCAGACTAAGGGACACCTAAGTAATACAAGGCAATCAATAAGTATATTAATAATAACCTAAATTTAAGTGTCTTATCTGGCGTTACATACAAAAGTATTATATAGTTTTTGATGATTTTTCTTTTTACTTTGTGAATAAAACCAATGTTTCTTTGTGCAGTGACATCTTCAAATCGAACAAGATAATGAACAACTTCCAGGAGTTCCTCAGCAACATCTTCCAGCCGCTGTTCGAGGTCACCAACGACCCCAACAGTAATATTGAACTGCACAAGTTCCTTACCGTAAGTTACTCTAGAAACTCAAAAAATTCCACTATTTGAAAACTTTAAATTAATAAATCTTTCTACTACAAGTATCGCGGCAATTAAATAAATTTCGTTGGTTAAGGGCCCCAATTAGCTATTTAAGGGCCCTAATAACCTAGTTTAGGGCCTTAATCTGACAATTGATGTGTTTTAGCATGTGGTGGGCTTCGACAGCGTAGACGATGAATCCAAGCCGGAGAACCCGATGTTAGACGCTGAGGTGAAGGTGCCCGGCCAATGGGATGACGAGGAGAATCCGCCATACGCGTACTATCTCTACTACATGTACGCCAACATCACCGTGCTCAACCACTTCCGCAAGTCAGTGCTACATATAATTAAAAACTAAAGTTTGCACATGAAAGTACTTATGTTTAAGAACTAGCTTCTGTCCGCGACTTCGTAATCGCATAAAAAAGCCTATAATATGCTCGCGTGCATCATCTAGCTGCCCGTCCAAGTCCCATGAAAATCTGTTCAGTCGTTCCGTACATTTTTTTTATTTTTTTAAATTGGTTTTTCGTTATCAAAATGCGAATTTCATGTATAGATTAAGATAATTACATATGGTTCTGTCGAATTCTTAATGAGTTATGTTGGTACACGGCATAGTTATTCCACTACGATTAGTGTGAACGAACCATTTAGAAATGATATTTGTCTTTGTTGCAGGGAGCAAGGTCTTAACACGTTTGTGCTGCGTCCCCACTGCGGTGAAGCAGGACCTGTGCAACATCTCGTCTGCGGATTCATGCTCGCTGAGAACATCTCTCATGGATTACTGCTTAGAAAGGTTAACTGTATTTGACAATAAAATTATTAATTTCATATTTGTTCCTTTGTGTTTTATCTGGCTCGAAGGACCAAATTGTTTTTGCCATACGTCTATCTCTTTCTATCTTAAGTAGTTCTAAATGGTGTTGTTTCAGGTGCCCGTGCTGCAGTACCTGTACTATTTAGCACAGATCTCCATCGCGATGTCTCCTCTCAGTAACAACTCGTTGTTCCTCAACTACCACCGCAATCCGCTGCCGGAGTTCCTCGCGCGAGGACTCTGCATCACTCTCAGCACTGATGATCCGCTGCAGTTCCACTTCACCAAGGTATATCTATCTAATATTATAAATTTGAAAGTTTGTATGTATGTATATATGGCTGGGATAGATGAATGTTAGAAGGTATCAACATAACGGTTCAACGGATCTTGATGCTATATGACACAGATGGACATAGTCTGGAAGAACACATAGGTTACTTACTATGTTTTTTTTTTAATACCGCACAGACGGAGCCGCGAGAGACACCTAGTGCTTAGTAAGGTTTAAATTGAATTTCATCGTACATGTGGCCCCCTCTATATCATTTTTAATTAATCCCCTCTTTTGATTTTGTCCGATTTATGTAGTTATGTACTGGCTTCAAATGTTGTTTGGTGTACAGGAACCGCTGATGGAAGAGTACAGCATCGCGGCGCAGGTTTGGAAACTCAGCTCCTGCGACATGTGCGAACTGGCGCGTAACTCCGTGCTCATGTCAGGGTTCCCGCACGAGGTAACATTTTCTATACCTTAATATCGTATGATAGTAACTAGTCGATTTACTTTAGCCCCTTCGTATACAAGTCAACGTAAATCATCGAAACTATTTCTCGGTTCCATCGCGAGAATCGCGTTGAATCGCCGACGATAGTCTTCTAATCGTTAAGTACAGGCATAGCGACTACAAGTCAGTTGAGTTGCTCCGCCATTTTGTAAATCACAGCAACTTTTCACACGACGATCTTGACAAATATATTGCAAGCGACTGGCGAACTGGCGACGTTATATTGCGTAAGTCGCTTAGCGATTAAAATCGCCGAGTTTTAAAAATATAAGTTGCTTTGTGTACAAAGGGCCTAAGGCCCCTAATAAGTTCATAAGGGAGAATTGTTTATAATTCATAATTACTCTAAAATGATTACTAAATAATTGATAAATAGATGAAGCAGTATTGGTTGGGACCTAACTACATGAAGGAGGGAGTGGCCGGCAACGATATCACGCGCACCAACGTACCCGATATCCGTATCTCCTTCCGATATGAGACATTGCTCGACGAACTCACCAACATATTCAAGGTACGTCTGTACACATGCAACATGTCACATAACATTAATATAACCCACACTTGTAAATTAGAGGGGGTAGGCAGTGATTACAGACCTTTAGTATTATCCTAGTGCAGTGGTTCCCAAACTTATTTTATCTACTGCCCACTTTGAGAATAAATATTTTTAGTGCCCCCATATTAGAGTTTAAGCAATCTTTTAATTCATATTAGTTGACGTTTACAAGTTGTTGTTGAGAGTCGAGAGCTCATGCAGTCGTTGTCTAAGAGGCCTCCTAGCTAAATAAAATTACAAATCACCCCCCAGACCCCTACATAACGCCCCCATTTTCTTTCTGGATCTCTTACCGCTCCCCTTGAGACCTGCAGCGCCCACAAGGGGGCGTTATCGCACACTTTGGTAAAGACTGTTCTAGTGCATTTCTCTTACCATATACACCTAACAAATCGTAATACAAAATTGTTTTATGATGAAAAGTGTCAAAAAATGATAAAATTAGACAAAATATCACTATACTTAATTTCTTTGTGTAAAGGAATAAAGATCTACAATTGTTTAAAAACGCTTAAAAGTGTATTGTGTGTTTCCTTGCCTGTGTTTTGGTGTGCTTTGGAGTGTGCTAATCGCCTCTATTTTGCATTAAACATTTTAAATAACCAACTTGAAAAATTCAGAAGAAAGGTTACAACAGATGATAAATCTAACCACGGGTTTTTGAGACTAAGATTTCCGTTTGAGACGTATTGTTATCTCTGTTTTGTCCAAATTAATAGCAGGGATGATGATATATTTTACAAAGAAATTGTGGTCTCAGAAACCCACGGTTAGTACTTTACATAATATATACCTACATTTCAGGAAGGAATGTCCGCTCGTCGATAGATCGTCGAGAACAAATCACCGGCGCGATCACTTTATTATTTACACGTATCATAGACAAATCCATATAAAATGGCCACGTTTCAACATTGTACACTACGAAAAAATAATACTTCAGTTATTCCTTGAAACATAAATTAATTTTTTAACACACAAAATACATTTCATTGTAAAAAACTTAAAATGAATTTCCCGCCAAAATGACAATGACAGTGACACTTCATTTACTTTTTTTTCTGTTAATAAACACATCCGATTGTTTTTCTGCCAACTTGTTGGAATTTTAAAGAACAATTGTATACAAAAACACCTACATATTATAATCATTAAAAAATATTAGTTTTATTCTTTTAACTTGTAAAACTGATAGGCATTTTAGAAGAATATAACCTAACTTAATTTGGATCGTGGTCAAGCATTTGCTTATTCTATAAAAAAAAACATTGCCGAGTTATATGGAGTTTGTCTTTTAGGTTAAGTAACCCTGTTTAAAACTATAGGGCTTTTATATGGTGCCCCAATATGCTTACGTTAGGAGATTAATACTTATAATGTGATAATTAGAGCGCGATAGGACACTAAGCTTGCAAAGTGCCATTTCATTTGTTTTGTGTTGACTTCCATTGGCAAAAACCTGTATAAATATATTGTTATCTCTTACTTTCCTTTACTTCCCAGTACAGAATGAGAGAGTAGACAATATTTTGTTTTGTACAGTTTGAGCTGTGGAAACCAAAGGTTTCGGTTTTGAGGTTATCTGTCTTCCCGCTTTTCGTGTTGTAAAAATATTTATATAACTCGATATTCACAACAATTTTTTACTTTGCATTTTCTATATAAATAAGAATATTATATATTATATATTAAATAAGAATATATATATTAATAATTTCTATTAATTAATTTAATATTAATTTTTTAATAAATTAAGGGATTATGTGTTTTGTGATGCCTTTGTCTGTAACTATATTTAAAAATAAAACTAAACCTGTTTTATTTGTTTTGAAATCACTAATTTTACTACTCTATGACAATAGTATCCAGGCCTTAAATAAAAAAAAAATTTTAAAGCACTTGTACGGTTAAAATTATTTATACCTAATTTAAATTATAATTTGCGGATGCTGTATCGTTAAATGGTTAGTAGTACCTTAATAGTCTCGTCAAATATACACTAAGGGAAGCCATTAGTGTCCATTTAGCAACTCTGGTAGTTCGAGATCTTTGTGGTTAAGTTTAATTTAAGCTATTGAGGCGTGTTTATTTCTGGTTGTAACACTGTACTGCTTTTGTTCCACGTTAATATGTTGGATGTAATGTTTGTTTTTGTGAGGTTTTTTTTTCACTATATTTGTAAGGTTGTGTATATTTTAACGATTTTAAAAGTATGTTACATCTAAATTTTTTTATGACAATATAATTGTTACTTGGAAATCATTTTATTGATTTTTTTTATGATATGGCAACCTTATAAGTGGGCATTTTATGTGTTAATTTAATATTGGGTTTATCATAAAACTTGTATATGTTTTTTAGCATAAAAATCATACCTTTTTAATATCTGATATGATTTTTAAATGATTGCATTATTTATGTACTTAATTCTATTAATATTCGGCTTTCAAAATACTTTCATTGTTGTTTACCAAGGAATTATACACTTACTTATGAAATATACCAATATATATCAAAATTAATGTTATCATGTTGCTGGAAATAAAAGTTTACTAAATTAAAAATGATTTTTTTACTACTGACAATACTAACAAATGTCAACTACCAATACCTACACAAAAAAAACACAAAATTCTACTGAATCTATAGTTTGTTTGTGTGATTTAAATTTATTTTTTTACTCTGTGTATTAAAATGTTTTCTTTTTCTGTATGTTAGATAAAGCGGTGTGCAACGCCCTTTTCAGCTGAAGGTACCGCGTTTACCCCTGTTTAGTCTGTGGCATAATTTAGTCTATGTTATTCATGACTTGAAGAAAATCATTCTTTGTCTATGATTAACAAATTTAAATCCACTGACGTCGTTGTAAATAATATTTGCACGTGAAATCTTATTCTCATCATTTCACACCCAGAATCATTTAAAGAGAAGTAAAAGAGTTTCTTTAGTGTAAATTAAATGATAACCTACACTAAGGAATTATTTAAGTAAACAACTCAGAGTTTGTCAGTTAAACTTTAAGGTTATTCATTAACTATATTCCTACTAAATATCATATTTTGGAGTATATAATTTTATGTTATTTAACATATAAATATCGGTAATGGAACATTTCTTTGTGACGAAATACATTCTATGTTATATGTTTGTTGGGTTTATGTATTTTTATCAATTTTGTGTTATGTCCTTCCAAAAAGCTTATATAAGGAGGAAATAAGAAGTTAACATTGACGTAAGTATTCTAGTGTTACTCCTGCATAAAAAGACGATGTTGCCATATCAAAAAACAAATACTTAAATTCGGGAAAGATTAAAATTAATGGCAATTTTAAACTTAATAATAAATAGTAAAAGCAAACAATTACTGCTGCTTTGGAATTTTAAAGATAGAAATACGTCTTTCTAACAATTTAAATAAAGCATAAATATATGCTGGATTTTAATCTTAGCTTATATTTACAGTCTCGCCTCTCAGTCCGCCAGTTTTTAAATGGCCCAGCGCCCTCGACGCCGCCGCCCAGCATTAGAGCACCAATCGTTAGCATCAAACGACCTTCACTTGTCTGAAACGTTACCTAAAAAGCGTAGAAATATAAAAATATTATCTAATAAAAATATAATGATGTTATTTCCTTTCTATTTTAAAAATTTGTATCTTAAAGTAAATTTGATGGTTTACTATGTTTTTAAAAATACGAACCTTAAAGAAATTTAAATAAATACTTTGTACATCGATGTGTTTTTTTTATAAAAATATAAGCTATTTAACCGAATAAGAGTATTTTATTTCTTCTCCACCTTAACAGTAATCGATTTACATTTATTGAAAACAGACGAAAACAGTACAGTAAGAATTATTTGAAACTAGCTGTCGCTCCTGCCTCCATCCGAGCGGAATGAAAAAAAAAAAACTTAATAGCCTGTGTGTGCTTCCAGGCTATTTTGTATATCTATGCCAAATTTCTAACCAAACATTCGCATTTATAATGTTAGTAAGATTATACAGCGGGCTCTTGCAGACTGTATTTTTTAAAAGAACGAATAATATATTTTTTAATTCATACATAAATATAAAAACTCTATATACTTCTGATATAAATAAACAATAAAAAATGTCATTAATACGTCAAAACAATATTATCTGATAACCATACACCTCAGGCTGTTGCGTGATTATTACAAAAAAAAAATGGGATAAATTGGACGACAGTATCATGAATAAATCATCACTTAACATAATATTTTTAATAGAATATCAAGGAATTAACGTACAAAATGACTGACAATACAAAAGATTACAAACGGCGTACATTTTCACGAACGTGAGTAATAATAAACAATTGTTTAAATATTTTTGAAAATATTACTGAATAGCAATAAAATAACCTTTGTCAAGCAATGGAACATAACTAACTAGAGTAGTGCATAGACTCAAAGTGGACCTTGGCCTTTGACAATACCTGCACCTTTTGTGGTCACTGTCATCACGGTCTTGTCTAATGCTCAGTTTACATCATTCCAGTCCAGGTTATGATATATGCGCTGGTTTACAAATATGGAATGTACAATTTACGTTCCAGTGTGAGTTAAAACTTTGCGCTCCTGTGGACTGTTGATTGAACACATTATTCTTAGTTTAAGTACAACTGGTCTTAATTGTAACGAGTCATTCGTTCAGAGATACACGAGAGGGGCGAAGTCGCACTCGCTTCATGAGCATGCCGGCTCCACCGCCGCAGACAGGGCCTATGCCAGGCGACAACCAGCCAAATGTCGCCTACCAGCGCGTCTCCGTGCACGGCATGCATACAAGTGGGGTAAGTATTCTACAATTTGGAACAATGGTAAAATCAATAATCTGTAATGAAAACTAACATAAAAAAATCCGATTGACTAACTTTATGACACTCCGAGGCAGGATACGAATCGATTTTTTTTTGTATTAAGGTGGCAAATGAGCAAGTGGCTCTTTGAATTAATCGAAATAGCGAAACAACCGTTGCCTATCTTTAATCGACGGAGGAGATGCACAGAAAGAGAATATTTCGCCTTTGTATTCGTCCTTCCTTAACAAAATCCAGTTCCCCTTCCCATCCTTTCCTCATAAGAAAAGTGTATGAAGAGAAAGAAATTTAAAATTAGACCTCTGGCACACTCATTAGATGAAAACATTAGAAAGAAGAGAAAGCAACAATTGTGTTACAAAGTTGTGAAATGAACAAAAAGTAGGTACATCGTTTCCTGTTATTGACGTCTTAAACATTCACCAACATTGCTGTATGAAAAAGAAAGCCAGTACGAATACTCTAGGTGCCTCTGGAAGAGCTCGAGCGTTCAGCGTCTCTGCTGACAGAGGCGTTGAACTTACGGCGGCATTACATGGCACTGGCGGGACAGTCGTTCCAGCCAGACCTGGGGCACGTGCTTGCCACCGTTGACACAAATGCACCACGCTACCATGTCTCCATGAACTTCAGCAAGATACTCAAGGAGTGGGATTGTAAGGATAATTATGTTAAGTCAACTTTCCTGTTCAGTTTTAACATAGGTAACGTGACTTTAAGAATAGGGTGACGTGACGTAGCTAAAATTGAGGACCGATTACTTTATTACTATTACTAAAAGTCTTCTCAAGTTATATGTTTCAGTGCTTAATCCAAAGTGAAATATGTAGCAAAAGAAGTTAAATATGATTCTCTCTTTTTGTACAACTTCGTCAGACGACACTGCCGAAATGTATTTGCCAAAGGAAGATACCTCTGAGGACTTAGCGTTCCCGTTCAATGTCCAGTCCCTCGTCTCCCACAATCGCTCCAACACGGGAAGTAAGTAGCCCACTTATTTAAATGTGACGAAGTTTATTGACGCAGATATGGTTGTACTGTTCTGTGCTAAATATACTACATCGTAGTATAAGTTTTTATTACTATTTCTAGTGCCAGTGATCAACGAGTTGGAAACGGAAGCAACCACCATTCCTGAACGCGTCAGATCTTCTGACAGCCAAGATAAAATTCCCACGGAACCAACACAAGGTCTTATTGGCAACTTTCTATTTAAATGTATTTCTTTCATATGTACTTGGTAAAATAAGCAAAAGTTGTTTCTTTATTTTATCAAATGATGTATTGTAAGGAGTGGTGTAGCTTTATTGCTTTTGTCGTGTGGTGTACAGAGGAGATGGACTCATGGGCATGTTTCACACCTTCCGACAAGCACTACGTGTTCCGTTGGTGTGAGGGTGTGCTGCGTGTCTACCGCAACGAGACAGACGCAGAGGCCGCGCAGCCGCTGCCGTACGAGTGTGTCACCTTCACTAAATACGTCGAGGACCTGGATAAGCTCTGCGAGATGATCACCGATGGCCCTTTGTGAGTTGTCTATATTCCTGTCTCTGTCATCGACAACGTCTTTCTTATTCTAATAGTTGTCTTAGACATCATAAGAATGGTGTTTTTTATAAGTACTGTGGTCGTTCGCAGGTCATCGTTCTGTTTTCGCCGCCTATGCTACCTATTCTCTAAGTTCAAGATGCATGTACTGCTCAACGAGATTCACGAGCAGGCGCTGCAGAAGGCCGTGCCGCACAGGGACTTTTATAACATTAGGTTTATGCATTACTTCTTAAGATGGTTTATCTTCTTCTCTCTGGAAATACTTACATAATATGACAATGAACGTCCAGGAAGGTGGACACTCACATCCACGCGGCGTCATGCATGAACCAGAAGCATCTTCTGCGTTTCATGAAGCGCGCTCTACGGCAGAGGCCGGGCGAGGTGGTAACAAAGACCGGCGCACGTACTCTCAAATCCGTTTTCGAGGAGATGCGCCTCGACGCACACGACCTCAACGTCGATCTGCTTGACGTTCACGCGGTACACGTATTTATTTAATTTTTAAATTCTCTATGTATTCGTAATCTTTACTTACGACTAGTTTATCGACCAGGATCGCAACACGTTCCACCGCTTTGACAAGTTCAATGCTAAGTACAATCCGATCGGTGAGAGCAGACTGCGCGAGGTCTTCCTCAAGACTGACAACTATATGAACGGCTTGTATTTCGCCAGCATAATAAAGGTTATTTAGTATTAATCTTTATATTGAGCTCCAGTATATTGGGACATCTTCTGACTCTTTGTTAAACGTGTGCAGGAGGTGATCGGCGACTTATCGGAGGGCAAGTACACGTACGTGGAGCCCCGGATATCGATATACTGCAAGAGAATGGATGAGTGGTCACGTCTGGCATCTTGGGCTCTACGGCATGGCGTCCGATCACCGCACGTACGATGGCTCGTGCAGGTGCCGCGTCTCTAGTGAGTACTACCTCGACCCACTGCAATCTATAAGTTCTTAGGTACTTAATGTACTGCAAACGCGTAGACAAAAGTACTAAGACTATAAAAACTGAAATAGTTTTCTACTTATTGAATTATTATGTCCCGAGCGGTGCGTAATGGAATGTGATGTTGTTGAACTGTCATCTCCTACATGTTATTGTCTCCGCAGCGACATATATCGTAACAAGAAGCTACTGAAGAACTTTCAGGAGTTCCTCAGCAACATGTTTGAGCCACTGTTTGAGGTTTCCATCAATCCCAGCTCAAACATTGAATTGCATCAGTTTCTTACGGTAACCTATTATATTGTTTGTGTTGCTTTTAGTAGAATTAGACTTTAGTCAATATTTCCTCTTAATTTAAAGCCCTGTCCTGGTTTTATGAGGATTTTTTTGTGTTTTTTAATATCCAATGCTTATTTTGTTTACAATGAAAGGTTAAGACCATTGAAACGTTTGCAGCAAGTGATAGGTTTTGATAGCGTGGACGATGAGTCGAAGCCGGAGAACCCTCATCCGCAGGAGTGCATGAGGCGGCCCACTGAGTGGTGCGATGAAGAGAACCCGCCCTACGCCTACTACCTATACTATATGTATGCCAACATGACTGTGCTTAATCATATACGCAGGTACGACAATGCTTTACACTATATTGATTTTCTTAACACAAAGAGTCGAATATTGTATCGTAGTCAATCGTAAAAGAGATATAGGAGACAGTTGTTGATAATAAAATTGAGGATTGACAGAAGTTGACGTCATTATTCAGGCAATAACAATAATTTGGTTCATATGAATGTGCTTACTAAACGCAAGTTGCTTGTGATGCAGGGAACAAGGTCTGAACACGTTCGTGCTGCGGCCTCACTGTGGCGAGGCTGGCCCCGTGGCGCATCTCGCTGTTGGCTTCCTGCTCGCTGAGAACATCTCGCACGGACTTATACTTAGGAAGGTCAGACAATCATCATTCGTTTTTACTTGACTAATAAAATAGATTTGATTTGACTGTAAACTATGATCAAATGAAAAAGTGATGAATTGATAAAGACTTATAAGTAGACTAGTATAGTTTGAGATTATGATCGTTTTAATTTTAACAGTGGTAGAGCCCGCTTTAACATGTTCGCACGAATTGGCCCGGCTCGCCCGGTGAAATACCACGACCACACAGAAGACAGACGTCAAGTGGAACCAATTCCGCCTTTCGTCTGATGAGTGTGCGTCCCGGAGGCCTAATTTACTCCTCTTTCCCTTCCCACCTTTTTCTTAAAAGAAAAGGATGGGAAGTGGAAGTGGACTTTCCGGATGAGAGGATGCATGGAAAGGGAATATATTTTCTTTCTGTGCATCCTCTCCTCCGTCGATGAAAGGTAGGCAACGCGTATGCAATTGCGTATGTCTATGGGCGGTCTAACGGTCACTTCGCTATATCAGAGATTTCAGGTGGCCGCTCGCTCGTTTGCCACCTTATGATATAAAAAAAACTCTGTTGCTAATGTTTATTACATTTGATTATTTGTGCAGTTCCCGGTGATGCAGTATTTGTACTACTTGGCTCAGATCCACATCGCGATGTCTCCTCTGAGTAACAACTCACTTTTCCTCCGCTACCACCGCAACCCGCTGCCGGAGTACTTCGCACGCGGGCTGCGAGTCACGCTTAGCACTGATGATCCATTGCAGTTCCATTTTACAAAGGTAAGACGAAAAACACGAAACAAACTGTATTCCATGATTACAACTTGGTAGTAAATTATATCAAATGTCACAGGAGCCATTAATCGAGGAGTACAGTATCGCAGCGCAGGCGTGGAAGCTAAGTTCCTGTGATATGTGTGAATTGGCGAGGAATTCTGTACTTATGTCGGGCTTCCCCCATGAGGTAACCATTTTGCTTAAATTTTTGTCTTTCGCATACAGGCATTAAACTTAGTGGAAAAGATGGTGCATGTTCAAATTGATTCATTGTGAAACAATAAATCGTATATAGGTATATTTTTCAAATTTAAATCAGTTTGACATTACACATACCACGGCAACCAAAAATCAGACCGAGTGTACTCCAAATCACAACTTGTCGGAAGTAGTTTCCCCTTTCCTTATAGCCCTGATTGTTTTCTAGGAGTTTCTTTTGTATTATATGTATTGTATAGATGAAGCAGCGGTGGGTGGGCGAGCACTACCAGCGGTCTGGTGCAGCGGGCAATGACATAACGCGCACCAACGTGCCCGACGTGCGCGTCGCCTACAGACACGAGACACTGCTCGATGAGCTGCGCAACTTGTTTGGTGTACGTTTTTTTTTGTTACTCTTGTTAGTGTTTAACTTTTGCCCCCAGGTGTGATAACTTTGTCGAGATATAATTGTCTTTTTTTTTGTCTACGCTTATCTTTGTGTCTATGAAAGGAGTTGGTCTAAAACAATTGTTTTTTCTTATTCATAAAAGATAGCTGTCACCCGCGAATCCGTCCGCGCGGAAATAAAATAAAACTTAATTAGTAGTCTATGTGTTCTTCCAGACCATGTTCTGAATCTATGCCAAATTTCATCTAGATCCATCTAACCTTTCTGCAAAAAACCTTCAAAAAAAAAAAACCACCCATCCATCTAAACATTCGCATTTATAATATAAGTAAGATGTCGTTTTATTGTTCCAGGAATTGGGTATGAAATAAAAGAAGCCGTCTGAATAATTATAAATATATTTACAATTGAATATATACATATCCTTTTAGTACATTATGTTATTCACTAGCGCTGTTTTTATTTAAATCCAGCTTCTATTATAAATCGCACGCTAGCGCCATCTATAAATGTTTTCCTAATAAATAAAAGCGCCATCTATGTGTGAGAAGACAAAACAAATATTTAGAAGCCGGTGACATGTTTGAGTGCCTTGTGTTCATCGTGCGGTGACATGCGGCGGTGCGCGCGCAGCTCCATACTGAAGCTGGCGAGACCAGAGCTCAGCGAGCGCAGCGCTGACGAGTAGCCCAACAACTCTGACAGTGGTGCTATGCACTCTATTACCTGAACAATACAATATAATTTGTCATTTTAACGTCGGTGACTCAGAGGTTGAGCACTTGACTTGCAATCTACATGTTTTAGGTTCGAATCCCGCCATGCACCAATGCGTTTTCCGATTTACATATGTACATTTAACCGACGTTCTTACGGTGAAGGTAAACATCGTGATGCAACCTGCACATATCTGAGAAGAAATTCAAAGATATGTGTGAAGTCAACACGCACTTGGCCAGCGTGGTTGACTATTGCCTTGGCAATAACTTTAGTTAGGCTCCGAGCCACTCAGTGGAGACGTAAAGTACTAAGTGTACATTTAGCATGAGATCTTTACTTAGGAGTTCACTTATTAACTCTGAGTTATACCTTATTGCCGTGTCTAGTGTTCACTTGTTGTACATCAGCGCGACGTCGCGCGAGGTCTGCGGTGACGCGCGCCGAGTGACTCTCCGGCACTACAACCTGCAGCGACATCATCGGCTCCAGTACTGCAGACTGAGCCTCCTCGAACACCTGCACAGAACACGTCGTCATACAAACACTCATAAAAAATACGCCTAAAACGATGTAACAGTAGTAGACGGCACTAACAAAATTGCATGAATAGCCTTGACCGGTGAAATCACGACACAGAAGAAAAGCTAAGTGGAAGCAATTCCACGTATAGTCTGATGAGTGTGATGCCGGAGTCTTTATTTTTGTCCTTTTTCTCTTCCCCCCCCCACCCCCTTTCTTATAAAGATGGGGAGAGGCAGTGGATTTAAAGGGAGAGTTGTCTCTTTCTGCGTCCTCCTTCGTTGATTAAAGGTAAGCAATGCATCTTCTATCCCGGCAATATCTATGGGCAGCATTTGCTTCGCTATTTCGGCGAATTTAGGTGGCGGCTGCAGTTTACCTTATGTTATAAAAAGTAAAATATAACGTCAGACGTTTTCATATAACTTTTCCATAATAGTTTCTGTGTAGTTATTTCATGAAAGAAGAGTTTTGTAGTTCTGACCTTGCGCAAGCACTGCACCACACCAGCACCCAGCACTGAGTCCGAGGTGCCGCGCCCCAGCTCCAGCCAGTGCAGCGTCACCTGAACATCCACCAGCTGCACACAAATCATATTAAAAACTAATTATTTCGACCATTTTTAATTGATAAATTTATGTTAAGGACGATTTTTTTAGGTAAAATAGGCAATCCATTAGACATCGTCCTTGAATCAATCGATCCAATGGGAGTTTTAGAAAAAAAAACCGAATTCTGATGGATCCGGCGACCGATCGGTCCAACGGGAAACACCAAAAAAATCGATGTAAAGCAAATTTAATATACAAAATTGTTTAAAATGAGAATTAGGAAAATACAACGCAAAAATAATAACAAGCGATACTTTCTTTATGTAGCCAAAGAATAAACTTGCTTAGATATTAAATTATACTTAAATATGCAAAGTTACTGTTCAAGGAGTTTTTACACTTTAGCAGCCATTAAATCTAAGAAAAAAGAAGAAATTAAACTTTTGAAATTAGTAATGTCCTATCAGTTTTCTATGTCTTTCTGTTATTCATGTTCTACAATATTAACACATTTTTCTGCAAATAAGGGTTTTTTTATTTAAAGCCCTGTACAGTTACCTTAAGAAAATATACATAGAATATAGACAAAAGAACATGAGAAATTAAGAACCCTCCTCCTCCTTTTTGAAGTTAAAATGTAACTCACAGGACAGCCGAGTTTAGGTCCATGTTGCAGCGCGGCGCGCACGCCCTGCTGCAGCGCGGACATTGTGCGAGGATGCACGTGAGACAAGTTGGCCGCACTCTCACCACTCTTGTCCAGTCTACCCACAACACAACTAATTATATTCTAAATTAACTATCACCTAGACTAGATTAAAAAAAGTAGCATATAATATGCCTGGGTGTATCGGCTACCTTCCAGTCTAAGTCTCGTCAAAATCGGACTAGTCGTTCCGGAGTTTACCCGGAACAAACGTGGCTAAACGTTAAAAAGGACAAATTTAATTTAATTTTTTAAATATTACATACAGACATTCCAATTTTTATTTATATTTATAGCCTAGTAATCGCCCGCGACTTCGTCAGCTTGTAATTAAAAATTAGCCTAACTTCTAACAAAGAAATATTTACTTGAGAATCTTATCTTGCGAGATTCCCTTCACTGTTTTAGCGGACATGGTGAGCTTGACCGCCTGCCGCACGCTGCCGATCTTGCGGTCTACATCCAGGGTGGACTTGGCCTCCCCCAGGAGCTGTTCCCGATACGCGATCTGCAGCTCGCCCAGCTCCACATCTATCTTGTACTCCCTGATGATGCGCTCTTTGATTATCTCCAGATGGAGTTCACCCATACCTGGATAATAAAAAAAAATGGTGTAGACGAACAGAGCTGACATAAACATCATACTAATATTATAAATGCGAATGTTTATTAATTAGATGGATGGATGGATGGATGTTTATTTGAAGGTATCTCCGGAACGGCTGAACGGATCTTGATGAAATTTTGCATAGATATAGAAAATAGTCTGGAAGAAGACATAGGAAACTCATTAAGTTTTAGTCGCATTTAGTCGCGGAAGACAGCTAGTCTTTTCGTATATCGTAGTGGTTCAAGGTCATCTGCGCGCCTTTGACTCGTGTGATGTTCGGAGCCTCCAAGATATATGTGACCCTGTGTACCAGCGAGTACGAGCTGGCCGGTCTCGTCGTCAGTGGAGACACGCAGGCTGGGGTCCTCGCGCTGCAGCTCTGCCAGCGCACTCTCCAGCGCGCTCTGGTACGCAGCGCTAGGCGGTTCTATGGAGCACAGGAACACCGGTTCGGGGACTGTCGTACCTGTTACCAAATTTTAAACCACGTTAAATAAAAGGGCAAATTATCAATATTGTTAAAAATTAAAAAGATTACTAAGACTCTATGTTCCCAAAGAGGACCTAGAAAATTTGAATCAATAGATTATTCGAAAGTAAAATATTCAAAACGGTTAAGAGAATCAACACAACAAAGAAGCAGTTCAATATAAAAATCAATAACGTTTCTCTACCTAACTTTAGACCAGTAGGGTCAACAAAAAACAAATTAATTTGAAACCTAAAAAAGAACCCACATTTAACATAAGACCACACTCACCAATCCCGAGCAAGACCTCAGCAAGTTCCTCAGTGCTGGGCTGAGTATCGAGAGCCTGCAGCCGCTGTCGCGCGCTGGGCAGCATCAGCTCCTCAGCGCCTGGCTTCTGCAGCCAGCGCGCCAACTGACTGCGTGCGCGTTTGGCGGACGTCTGCGTTGAAGTCACCAGGTCTCCGGTCATGGTCGTCTGGTAAAGAACTTAGTAGCCTATCTGTTCTTACAGACTATGTTCTATATCTATGCCAAATTTCAGCTAAATCAATACATCCATTCATCCATCCTTCTAAATATTCGCATTTATAACATTTAAAAAAAAAGTAAGATTTAAAAAAAAACCTCTTTATTTCACTGTATATAATAATTAGCAAACAAAATATTTTGAAAATAGTGACGTCATAGTTACTGACCTTGAGGGAGCTGACAACAGCAATATTCCCCGCAGTGACCTTGTCCACCGGCCGGTACTCGTCCGCCAGTGCCACGTACAGCGAACCTGTCTGGTCATCTTTATTACTATTATTCTGACTAAACATCACATACAGTCTTCAATCTTTAGAATAATTCTATACCTGTTCACTCTTCTCTCTTGCCAAGTTGTATATCTTCTGTCCCTTTTCAATCTCACCGCTGTACAGCCTTAGGAATGTTAATACACCTCTCTGGTCATCATGCTGCACCTTAAAGGCCCTAGCCGCTAACTCGGAATCAAAGCTTTTGTAAATTCTATTACATTCTAAAGGTGATGGTAAATAAGATACTATGGAATCCATTAATGTCTGTACACCAATGTTTTTGTAAGAACTGCCACATAATATAGGAAATCCGCTCATTTTCAATGTGCACCGTCTGATAGCATCATTTATCTGTGGAATTTCAATATTGTCCAATGAATCTTGTTGTATTATTATCTCTGCTAACTGATCATCCAATGAGGAGAGAGTGTCAATCAGTTGTCTATGGCTATTCATTATTTTTTCCCAATTTTTGCCATCCTGTTTCTCTACAACTTTTCGCCTAACGTAATTCTGTCCACGTCCCTGCGTCCATATTACTTCTTCGCATGTCACTAAATCAATGAGACCTAGAATATATAATGACTAATTTAAGCTCATTTTCCACTAGACGTAAATATTTTCTTTGTAATTTCACTGTTGCTACAGATATTAAGCAAGAAGTTTTCATAGTACTATACCAATTAGTTTTCCCTCCTTAGTAACAGGTGCATGTATCATGAGAGGTGTGGCCTGTAGTTTCTCACGCACAGATCTGATACAGCTGTTCACATCTGCGTCACTCCTGTCCATTTTGTTGAGATACAGTATCCGAGGGACTCGGTACCCACTTGCTTGTCTCCACACTGTTAATGTTTGAGCCTCCACACCTGAAAGTTAAATATAATTTTTAAATTCTTTGAAATATTCATAATTGTATATAAGACAAAAGTGATTTGAGTCATCGTTCCTTGTGCACACAGCTAACAATTGGAATAAGTTACTGGCATCAGTGTTTCCGGCCAGCTATAACATGGTGCCTTCAAGAGTAGGGTGAATAAGTATTTACAAGCTTGTGTGTACCATCCTTGGATCACTTACCCACTTAATGTCAAGGGGGTTTGTGATCAAACACTGGTTTAATTAATATAAAAAAAGGCAAGTCTCAATGAGATTACCTGCTGAAGCATCCAAGACTATAACAGCACCATCTAACACAGCCAGACTCTGCTCAACCTCCATAGTGAAGTCAATGTGGCCCGGTGTGTCAATTAAGTTGATTTGTGTGCCATGCCAGGGAAAGGATACCGCAGCAGCTGCCAAACAAGTTAATTATTACATAAATGTATATTTAAATGTTGTAGAACAACTATTGATAAAAGACTGTAGTTATATAATCTTATACAGGGTGTCCCAAAAGGTTACGTACATAGGAAGGGGGATGATAGGGGTGGTCACAAGGGTCAACAGAAAAATTAAATAAAAATTCCCTTCTGGGTATTAAAAAAAATAAATGGCATTTTTAAAATCTTAAAATTTTTACACCTTCTGGGGCAATTTTGTAACTGATGACCTACAAATATTGCTATATTTAAAAAAAAAGCTATTATGTTATCGTCAATAACCCTTTATCAATATGAAATAAAAAAATAATACAACTAACAAAGATTTTAAAGAAAATTAAAATTGCCCCAGAAGGTGTAAAATTTATAAGTTTTTAAAAAATGCCATTTATTTTTTTTAATACCCAGAGGGGAATCCCCTATCATCCCCCTTCCTATGTACGTAACCTTTTGGGACACCCTATACATAAAATTCTCATATCATAATGTTAGATATTTTATTTGCATATTCAGTAGGTTAGAGAATCGGATACTATTTTTTATTCTCGTGTTGACGGAGTCCCTGACGACAGCTAGTATTCATGTAAAATGATATGGAATTCTTTTAATATTTGTTTCCAAGATATAAACCAATTTTAGAAGATGTGGTGATCTTACATGTGATTGTAATTCCTCTTTGTCTCTCCTGTTCCATGTAGTCGGTGACCGTGTTACCATGATGCACCTCGCCCATAGACCGTATAGTCCCGGAGTAATAAAGCATACGTTCAGTTGTTGTAGTTTTGCCTATGTTCAATAAATATAACATGAACACATACAAATTAAATTATTATCACAATTATTTAACTATGCTTGTTCATATTTCATAGGATCAATTCAGTCTATATTCAGCATTTAAGATTAAATTTTGGCAATACTCTACAATGTAATATAATATCTATTTAAAGTGTACGCATAGGTTATTATACTAACCTGCATCTATATGTGCTAAAATCCCAATATTCCTAATATTTTCGATCTTCGTCTCGTATTCAAAGTTAGAAGAATATTTTCGCGTTTGGACATTTTTAAAAAACTTTCTATAACAATTAAAAATGCAATAAGTTCTCATGTTGTCATAATATTATGTAAACAAAACAGAAGGTTACCTAATGTCAATGTCAATTGTTTATTTTTAATCTTTACCGGGGCAAAGAGTAAGTGCAATTTTAGGTTATGAAATTGAAACAACTTGAATGGTAAAAAAAAAATTTAGAGGCAGCTTAGATTTTATACGTTTAAAGCAAAAAGTAGTAGATTTCAAAACAGACACAGTAAAATTCTTGAGAAATCTTTCGCGAGCAAGTTATTTTCTCACTTTAATCATTGTTGTGTTTGCTTGGAAGCTTAAAAATGTTAGTTATAGGACACTTTTTACTTAAACTACTAAAACTTTCTTTATTCTCTCTTTAATTGCGCTATTACGATGAGTTCTGTTATATTTATCAATTTAAATTGTTCTTTTTATGCTTGAACCTGGCCAAAAATTTTGCGCTAAGCGCAAAGCATTTTATATAAAAAACCTAACAGTAGTATCCCGCCATTTTTAATTCAAAGTATTTTGCCACTTTCAGCAATTGTTAAAAACTATCCAAGACATTGTTATCTTCCTACAATGGATATCGATGATATTACGAAGTTTGCAAATAGTAAAAGAATAGTCACGGATGCAGACAAGTTACGGGAGAAAGTCACTAAAGAAAAAGAAAAAATTATAAAGTTAAAGGTAAGTAGAGTAATTTTGTTTAGTTTAACAGTTTCCACTATCCAAACACATATACAAAAACAATGTTACATTGATCCAATATGTTTTTATATATTGTACAAACTGTCAGCATTCAATTTTTTTGTCGTTTTAGTAAAGAAAACTATTTTTGAATTAATCTTAATTTTTATTGTTTATATAAACTTTTTGAAAAGGGGAAATGAAGCGATAATCGTTGTCATCAAATGTTGATCCATTGTAAAGGTAGCTCAAGACACCGCCTACTGGGACTTGAAGGAAAAGTTGCAGCAAGTGCAAGACAACCATGAGCGGCTGCAGCAGAATATGGCCGAGGTGCAGATGCAGCACGAGGCCGCCAATTCCAAGTACCAAGAAGAGTTGAGACAACGCCCTGAGATACTTAACAAGTAATTTGAAATAATAGTTTTCAAGTGTATATTTATGTGTTTAGAAAAAAATGAGAAAAAAATCTCCGATGACCTTTTATTTCATTTATCAAAATCCTTGCTCTTTCCTAGATTTACAACTCCCTCTATCCCCTCAGCTTGAGATAATGGAACCATTCATTCATTTGTCTTTTAAGTATGCAGTTAATATATCGCGGATGTGCAGATTATCTACCACGCGTAAGATCTGCGATGTCCTGCAAGAGTCGAGCGAGCGGCTGCGGGAGACGCTGTCGCGTTGCAAGGCAGACGGCGCTATGCTGTACACCGCATTCAACAGGTCCGCCGACCAGCTGCGGGAAATGCGCAATAAGCAGATGCAGGAGGACGAGAAGGTCAAACACCAGATTGAGGGCCTGCAAGAGAAAGGTTTCATAACTTCAATTAAACTTGATAGTTTAACAACTTCCAAAAAGAAGTTCTTTTTTCCTGCTATCGCTAAACCAGTGATCACCATGCAGTAAGACCTTATGCCAGGAAATCTAAATCGTAATCGTAAAAGAAATTGTAATGTAATTTGTGCTAAGTGTGGTTGCATATTATGAAAACAATGTTGTTATACGTGAAGTGTCGCTGTCGAGCAACCACTTCAGCAAGCTGGTTGAATATCTGGCGAGCGCGAAGCAGCAGGTGGACAGCGAGCTGGCGGAGGCGCGCACGCAGCTTACGGCCGCGCACACCCGCAACAACGACCTGCTCACATCGCTTAGCGATAGTAACAGGGAACTAGACAAGCACAAACATGAGATAGATAGGGTAAGAATCTTAGTTTTATATATATTTAGGTGGCCAATGATGATAGTTACGTACAGGCTAAGGATAAAAAAAACTACAGTGAAGACTTTCTTGACGCTAATTCTGCTTGAGTTATTTAATGCTTTATTTCCTAAAATACACACTTGATTACAGAAAGCTGATATGATAACACATCTCCAATGCGAAATGAAGAGACAGACAGATGAATACAACATCCAGAACTGCAACGCAAACAAATCCCTCGCACAGAAAGATAAAGAGTGAGTCCTTGTTGAAAAGGCTAAGATAATTTATTCTCGAGCTAATTTTAATTACTTTATGCAGTCTTGAAAATCGGTCATGTTTAATAGTGTCCAGTTTATTGGTAACTGCCGGTCTACGAACTTATATCTTCCCATTTTTAGGAATTTAATATGATCGATTGTCTTTGCTACCTTCAGCTATCGTTTAAGTACTATTGTAGGATCCAAGAAGCAATAGATGCTGTTCAATCTCTCAAACAAGTGGTTATGAACCAAGAGCAGTTCATAAAGAACGTGAGTGACGAGAGAAACGGACTGCAGGAGAAGGTGGTGGACTTGGAAGAGGAGCAGCACCGACTGAAGGCCGGTATGGAGACCCTCAAGATACAAATGCAGGTAAAGTACAAGAAAACAGCAGGTCTAAAGCGAAATGAACATTTCAAACAGAACAATAAATAAGAAGCAGTGGACTATTAGCCTTTTAGAGACGTTGAAAGTTAATGTATGAAAGTTGTCGGAGAAATAATATATTTATTAAATTCTTTGCAGGATTTAAGCTTAGCCAAAGCAAGTGTAGAGGAGAGTCTACATAAGGCTGTAAATGAAAATAACGATTTGAAGAAAGAAAACTTTGATTATGTTCAAGTAAGATTTTAGTGGGGCTCTACCAATTTAACATCTTCGCAGGAATTGTCCCGGCTCACCCAGTGAAATACCACGACCATACAGAAGACAGGCGTCAAGTGGAAGCAATTCCGCGTGCAGTCTTATGAATGTGCGTCCTCTTTCCCTTTCTACCCTTTTTCTTATAAGGAAAGGATGGGAAGTGGAAGTGGAATTCCGGGATGAGAGGATGCATGGAAAGGGAAAATATTTTCTTTCTGTGCATCCTCTCCTCCGTCGATGAAAGGTAGGCAACGCATATGCAATTGCGTATGTCTATGAGTAACGGTCACTTCGCTATTTCAGCGATTTCAGGTGACCGCTCGCTCGTTTGCCACCTTATGATATAAAAAATATATATTTTGAGCAATATGATACTGAAATTAAAGTTAAAGTTGATTTTGATAAATAAGTAAAACTAAAGTACAACTAAATAATAAATATTTAACAGGAATTGACTAACATTAAAAAGGAAGTGCAGGATCTTCAAATGCAAATAAATTTATTGGAAAAGGACAAAGCACAAATTGATGATGAATTGCAACAAAGTAGGAATGAGTCTTATGAAAAATTTGCACAAATACAACAATTGGTGAATGATAAGAAACAACTCGAGGATCATATTGAAGAAATAAAAAATGACGCTAAATCTTACGAGTATGAGTTTTTAGTCCAATTTTAGTAGTGATAAAAAATTTGCTTTGGAATTAGTTTCATCATCAGCTCACTATACGTCCCCACTGAGGGGCTCGGAGCCTACCCTAAGTTAGGTGCGATTAGGCCATAGTCAACCACGCTGGCCAAGTGCGGGTTGGTTGACTTCACTCATATCTTTATGGAATTAGTTTAGATTTTCGAAAAAATTTTTGTAGGGAAATCGCAGAATGTAAACAAAAAGATTTGGAGATTCAACTACAAAATAAGGACAAAGAAATAGATACGAAAGTTAATGCTATAAACTGTCTCATGTCCGAGGTGAAGATGGCGGCAGATGTAAAATTTAAACTGGAAGATACTTTGGCCAAGTTTAAGAAGGAGATGGAATTAGAAAGAGACGCTATGAAAGATAAGGAAGAGAAATCGAAGAAAGAAATTAAAAAGCTTCAAGAGAGCGTTCGAGTGAGCATTTTTTATATTTAACTTAACTATAAAAAAGCAGACAATTGTTAATAACAAGGTTTGGAAGTTTTTTCGTGATGATGATATGATCTAAAATGTCCAGGTCAAAGAGGCTGAACTTAGTCAGAACATGACAATGATCCTGGAGTTAAGGAACGAAAAGGTGAGATAATTATTTTGTAGGTAAGTATACATTTTAGGCTAAGTTTTTAAGTTACGGTGACAAGTACATTGGAAACGTTTAATAATCCAAAGAGGGATACATTGATGATTTTCTCCATATCCATTCAGGATCGTCTGCATCAGAGCATCCAGGATATGCAGCAGACCTTAGACAACGTGGAGAAGGAGCTGACAGGCCGGCGGTGGCCGGCACCCAAAGAACACTATGTCCCCGAGCTCGATGATAATGCCGTTATGATGACCCCCTCACGCTCGGTTGGGTTTAACATACTTTACTGTAGCACTCAGGGTCGTTGGTCGGTCTCTAAGAGATACCCTTAGTATTGACTACTTAAACTAAATGTACACAAAAATCGACCCTTAATGACTTGGTGGCAATTACTTTTTACATTCATCAGTAATTTAAGTTTTGTTATAGCAATTGTTGTAATTTTTAAATAGAAAGTAACAAGACAGGAAACGGTCGGAAAGAAGCTGGAGCTGATGCCGCCCTCCGCGCCCACTGCCCCCCCAGCGCCAGAAGCGGCCCTGAGTCCTAATAGTTTGCTTAATATGTTCACCGACTCTAGCTCTGATGATGAAAGATTAAACGTAAGTTAAGTTAAACTCCAACGTAATAACGTTAACAAATCCTTGGGATCAACAACTAGCTAACGAAAATATGAAAATATTTTCTTTTCTTTCTATCCCATTTTCAATTAAATACTGTTAACAGGGGAAGAAAAACATGGAGAGGAAACAGAAAAACAGGAAAAATAATACATAAAACATAGAATTGTGCCATAATAATTAAAAAAAAAACAATTTATTTCGTGTTAGTTAGATGTATCATATGTTATAGGAGACGGCGGTTAAGCGTTGCTTTGCTGCGCTGTCTCGCGGCGAGACTCTGACGCGGACACAACTGGCCACTTTGAAAAAACGACCCAATCGCATAGATCCAAGGAGCCAAACTCAAAAGAAACAAATTCCACAAGTAACATACAACTTTTTTGGTCCTTTGAGTTAGATATCGATAAAAAAAAATTCTATTAATAAAAACAAAATAATAGGTTAATTGTGAAGAATAAGCTTAAATATGGACGTAAAATCGTAAGATTTGGACAAATGTCGAAGCCTTTCGAACGGATGTTCAGGATGCATTGCATAATAAAAAAAGAATATAAATATTCTTAAATACGATCTATTTGTAACAAATCTAAAGTCATATTTATTTTTCAGGAAATTCTGTCTAATGCGAAGGAGGATATTAAGACAAGACCTCGAAAGTTCTTCAAGCATAAGAGGTTGGAAACAAAGAAATAGATTGTTTTTGTTTCAAGACTTGTTCTTATGTTTTCTAAATTTTCCTCTAAACTACGATTTAATAATTCAGTAATAGTTTAACAATAAGTTATCAGCTGTTATTTTTAACGATAAATACTTTCTTCTTTTAATGTTTTATAGTTATAAGCGAAATTTAAATAAAACAGCATTTAGTTTTTAATTAATACGTAAGGAAATTAATCATTTGTAACAATTTGGATAAGTTTTAAAAGTAACGTGTTTGAAATTCTTTAGAACTGTATTTGTTTGATTAATAAATTTTAAGGCTTTATTACCAGTTTTATTTCATTTCAATAAATTAATTAAATACATGTGTATATATACAGCATATGTATGGGGCAATATACTCGGCGAAGAAAATATGTTAGTGGTCAAGTGGGTATGTAATACAAGAACTTAGACAAAAAGATCACTTTTATTATAGCTTTAAAAGTTACACTTTCGCTCACCGGGACTAGGTCAGGCAATTTTGTTGATAACAAGCAAATGATAAGTTGCAAAGTAGTTATGCAATTGAAAACATCCGCTTTATTTAGAAAGAAGGTCATGTATTTTACTCTTTGACTGGTACAATAAACAAATGTGGGCTACTCTATGAAAACAATGGCAACTTTCAACTTCAATGATTTGTTTGTGTTGAATACGTGACAAAACAGCTTCCCACAAAAATTAAAATAGTAAAGTTAAATTAAGAGTGTAACAAAACACTTATCAAAATGGGAGTACCAGCGTTTTTCCGCTGGCTCAGTCGAAAATACTCAAGCGTAATAGTGGAATGCATTGAAGAAAGGGTAATTCGTCGTAACCTAAAAATTCGATTAAATCTACAAACAAATATTATATTTTGGCTATTTTATTACAGCCAACCGATGTCGATGGTGAATTAATACACATAGATTCATCTCTGCCAAATCCAAATGGAGTAGAGTTTGATAACTTGTATTTGGATATGAACGGCATCATCCACCCGTGTACACATCCGGAAGATAAACCCGCGCCTAAAGATGAGGATGAGATGATGGTGGCTATTTTTGAGTGCATCGATCGTTTATTTCGTATTGTAAGGCCCAGGAAACTGTTGTACATGGCAATTGATGGAGTGGTGAGTGTGTAACAATAGTATGTAATTTCAACAATGTTTGGTGGTATAATTTTTTTTTTCAGAGAACTTAACTATACTTTTTGTCAAAAGTAGGAATTAATTGTGTACCTCTAAAGTGTTTTTCATATATCACTTCAAACAATACAACCAAAGATGAATCTTTTTAGGCCCCAAGAGCTAAGATGAACCAGCAAAGATCAAGACGATTCAGGGCGTCTAAGGAGATTCAGGAGAAAATAGAGGAGGTTGCACGAGTTCGGTCAGAGCTCCTGGCCAAAGGAGCATACTTGCCTCCGGAGAAGCCTAAAGAGGCACACTTTGACTCAAATTGTATCACTCCTGGTACACCATTTATGGACAGACTAAGCAAGTGCTTACATTATTACATACATGACAGGTCAGTAAATTTCTCATAAATTACTATTAATAACCAATGTATGTAAGCATACTCTTACTATGTATTTTGCTATTTTTCCTAAGATTAAACAATGACCCTGGTTGGAAGAGTATTAAGGTGATCCTGTCGGATGCCAATGTTCCAGGAGAAGGAGAGCATAAGATCATGGATTATATTAGGCGGCAGAGGGGTAGGTTGTATACATTTAGATAAAGTTTGGCAAAGTATAGATAAGTCAAGAGTTGTGTTTAAGCTGCCTGGTGTCCTTGCTAAATTTTAGGACAGATTAGTTTTTGCTTAGTTTTATAGCTAATCAATAAAATATGTATTTTTTTCACATGAACGACATCATAGACATTAGCTAATCTATTTTACATAATTATATTTATACACAGCTCAACCCGACCATGATCCCAATACACAACATGTGTTATGTGGTGCCGATGCTGATCTTATAATGTTGGGACTGGCAACACATGAGCCCAACTTCACGATCATAAGAGAAGAGTTCAAGCCTAACAAACCTCGCCCTTGTGATGTCTGTGGACAGCTTGGTAAGTTACGGTTAAAGTTTACAAGATTTTAGCAAACATTTGGAAACATATTGAAGTTTGTGTAGTCTGTGTGTGTACAGCTACACGGAATTTACTAGAACATAAATAAATTCTTTTCTTGCAATATTTCCAGGACACGAGATGAAGGAGTGTACTGGTACTACGCCGGATGCATCAGTGGTTCGTTCAGATCCAGCATTTGGGGCCCAAGATAACTTCATCTTTGTTAGGTTGAGTGTGCTGCGGGAGTATTTAGAAAAGGTAAAGAAATTTAATACGAGTAGATAAACAAGAAAAAATCTGCTAATATTTTATATAAAAAAAAAGTTTTGCATTTTATTTATTAGTAAGATCACTATCAACTGAACTCTAATTGTAAATTTAGAACTTTTATATTGCAAGTAAGAGCCCATATAAGTTTGTGTCTCTTTTTAATCTTTGAAAAAGAAAAAAGAAAAGAAAAGTTTTTATTATTGGTAATAAAGATTAAACCAAGAAACCATAACTAACATAAAAATTGCACATAACTGAGAAATTAAATTAAACTTATGTTACCATTTATGGTTAATTTGGGTAATAACTAACAATACTGTTTATTTTCAGGAACTCCAAATGCCAAACCTACCATTTCCATACGATTTTGAGCGGGCTTTGGATGATTGGGTGTTCATGTGCTTCTTCGTGGGTAATGACTTCCTGCCGCATTTACCCAGTCTGGAGATACGAGAGGGTGCGGTGGATCGATTAGTCAACTTGTATAAGAAGTGCGTTTATAAGACTAAAGTAAGTGCTATAAACAATCTTGACAGTGATATTTTTACGGTGTAGGGAAACATAGTGATGCAATCTGCACATATCTACAAGGACATTCAAAGATGTGTGAAGTCAACCTCCACTGGGCCAGCATGGTTGACTATGGCCTTTAACCAGAGTCCATTGTTGAGGACATATTCCATATGAGATGACGTCTTAATAGTGTTAAAAAAATTATATGTCTAGACATAAATAGTATTAGTCAACTATAGGACTTTTGCGGCTATTTCTATGAGTATTTTCTCAGGGCTGGGTGACGGACAGTGGTGACGTGAACCTGGAGCGCGTGCAGGTGATAATGGATGAGCTGGGTCGCGTGGAGGACGAGATCTTCAAGCGGCGGCATAACAACGAGCTGGTGTTCCGCGCGCGGGACAAGGCCCGCAAGAAGCAGCAGCAGGTTAACTTCAAGCTGCTCGAGAAGACTCAGTTCGCGCCCATGGTGAGATTGTTTCATATACTCCCGTAGATATGGTACCAGATTTTGATACAATTTCGCGTTCCGGAGGCCTAACTTTAGTCCCCCTTCCATTTCCACACTTTTCTTAGGGCAGGGATGGGGATTTGACGGAGGAGGTGACACATGGGAAGCGTAATTATACTCTTTTTGTGTTTGCGCTCTGTTGATTAAAGGTAGGCAACGCATCTGCAGTTGCGTATGCCTAGGGGCAGCGTCCGCTTCGCCATTTCGGCGAATTCAGGTGGTTGTTCGTTTTCCACCTTATGATATAAAAAAATATTGTATATTTTGTTACATATCTATGTCAGGTATAAACTCTAATGTTTTACAAGTAAATATAAATTATCCTAAATGCTTTAATAATTGTTATATTATCTGTTATTTTCTTATACATAACCACCACAATTCTACAATAAGTGTGTTTTCAGTCTGTTAGTGCTGCTGCTAGGCCGGTGCAGAACGCGCGCCAGGAGGCTGCCAATATCCGTATCGCCGGCATGAATGCTACTGCTGAGGTAAACCATTTACTAAAATATCTACATTTTTAAGAAATTAAACTTAATGATTAACTCATGTGTTCTTCCGCACTATGTTCTACATCTGTGCCAAATTCTAGAAAAATCGGTTAACCCGTTTTGGAGATACCTTCAAACATCCATCCATACATCCATCTAAACATTCGCATGTATAATATTAGTAAGATTACTGTCCAATAACTTGGTAAAAAGAGTTTTTGGTTGCTATTTTATATTTTCGTATTATTAATCTGTTCAGATGAATCAGTTGAATTGATTAATGTTGTTAGGATGATGGTTCGGAGCGTCGCGGACGCAAGCGATCTGCGGCAGAGGCGGAAGGTGGTGAGGACTCAGAGGGCGTGGAGGACGAGGACAAGCACGATGAGGTTCGCCTGTGGGAGGACGGCTTCAAGGAACGCTACTACGAGAGCAAGTTCGAAGTATCCAGGGATAACATGGAGTTCAGGTCAGCACAGCACATGACACGTACTAGAAAGTAACGTATCAATCATAGCTCAAGGTCATTTGCGCAGTACCCTCCCCCTGCATCCCGCTACACCTAACATTGTGTTCTTCCCGCGACTCGTGTGAAGATATATAAATCACTAGCTGTGCCCGAGTCATCCGCGTGAAGCACTAAAACTTTCAACGTCTTACAACCCTTTTTTAATTAAAAAAAAATAGCCTATGTCCTTTCTCAGGCTCTAGACTATCAGTGTACCAAATTTGAGTGAAATCAGTTTCGTAGTTTTGGCGTGAAAGTGCGACAAACAGACGGAGTTATTTTCACATTCATAATATTAGTAATGTTGTGTAGATACCGTGTGGCGCTGCAGTACGTGCGCGGGCTGTGCTGGGTGCTGCGTTACTACTACCAGGGCTGCGCGAGCTGGAAGTGGTACTTCCCCTACCATTACGCGCCCTTCGCCTCAGACTTCGTCAACATATGCGGACTCTCCACTAAGTTTGAAAAGGGCACGCAACCGGTCAGTAGCTCTGGCACTCAGAAACGTTAAATTGCCAATGAATGTAGATTTATCATACTAAATTTATGCTAAATAATGATTCGTTATTAAACAACTAATGGTGGGTTTCGGAGAGCAAATGTGAGTGTAAAATTTATTGTTATCCCTGTCATTACCTTTGACAAAACAGAAATAACGATATGTTTTAAAAAAGGATTTTGGTCTCAGAAACCCAGTTAGTATTACAGTAAGTCTTTTTTTATTGTCTGTGACTTAATTTTTATGTGTTTTTATATGGTACGTAGTTCCGTCCCCTGGAGCAGCTGATGGGCGTGTTCCCCGCTGCTAGCTCCTCCCACGTGCCGCAGCCCTGGGCCAAACTCATGAGCGACCCTGTGAGTATCCACATACTACTGTAGATTCGTCACCGGTGAACGTCTATTTGTAATTTGCCTAGATAAATCGTAAACACTGCTAATTGTACACAACTATGCCCTTAATTTGACCTCTAACACGATATTGCATTATTTTGATCTCCTGTACGAGGAAAAACACTAAAGTTAACGAATTATTACTAGTCCAAACTACAAACAAACTTCTGACCATAAATATGTAAAAAACATGTAAATTCTCTATGGAATTCTTTATTAATATGTTATTTTCTTTCAGTTTTCGCCTATAATAGACTTCTATCCAACGGACTTCAAGATAGACTTGAACGGCAAGAAGTTTGCATGGCAGGGTGTCGCGCTGCTGCCCTTTGTGGATGAGAATCGGCTCTTCAAGGCACTCGAGCCATACTACAAGGAACTCTCGCAGGCTGAAAGTGAGTCATACATACAATCATTCATACATAATATTTGTATAATATAATGCAGTTGGCATCCAATTGGCTATTATAGCTGCATACTAGCAGTCGCTCGTGACTCCGTCCGTGTGAAATTAAAAAACAATTTAATATGTAGCCTATGTGATTTCCAGACTGTTCTACATCCATGCCAAGTTTCCAGCCGTTCCGTAGATACTTTTAAAAAAAGGCATCCATCCATCTAAATATACACATTTTAGTAAGATTAGTAAGTTTACTACAAAATGCCAATGTTATGTAATAAAAAGTGTACTTTAATTACTGAGTACGGTGTTGTGACGTCATTTGTCTGTGGTACCATGTTACGGGAGACGTTGTTTTGTCCAGTCCAGCGCAATATCCGCGGACACGACCGGCTGTATGTGTCCCCCGCACACCCGAGCTACGGCGTGCTGGTGGCGCTCTACGAGGCGGGGGGTGCGGGGGGTCGGCCGCGCCCGCCGCACCCCCCGCGCGCTCAGGACGACACCCGCCACCCCTACTGCAGCCAGGGGGTGCGCGGTGACGTCTTACTCAGCAGCGACAATGTCACCGTTGGCGGGTACTATCACATTTACTATGTTACTATATAGCTGTCGCCCCCGACTCCGTCCGCGTGGAACTTAATAAAAAACTTATTAGTAGCCTATGTGATTCTCCAGGATATTTTTATATATATTTCGGCTTGGTTATACGTATTTTGGATTTATAGCTTAAAGGTAAAAATAAGGACTTTGAAGTTTAAACTAACCTTATCTTTGAAATCGTAAAAATACTAAAAAAAATACTTTGATCATTTTCCCTCTTGTAAATTTAATTGTGTTTAAGTAATTCTGAATTTAATTATTAAATAATTTATTTAGTTTTTAACATTATTCTGCATCTCGCAGTCAGCTGCCGTCCCCAGTGGTGGGTCTGTCTCCAGTACTGGGTAACCGCGTGGTGTGTGTGAGGTTCGAAGACCCGCAGTACCCCGACGATTTCATCTTCCCCGCGCGCCGTCTGAAGGGCGCCACCGAGCCCCCCAGAATCCTCAAACCTGGAGACCTCAGCGATCAGCAGAACAGGAACTGGAGACCGCAGATTGGTAAGAGAAAACATTATAATATTATTGCTATAAATATAAGTAACGAGGTTTTCTTCGAACCTTTTTCTTATAAGAAAACTAGTCGTCGCCCGCGACTCTGTCCAGGCAGAATTAAAAAAAGACAATAATTCAGATAAAAACTACCCTTTATCTCAAGTTGGACTAGATTAGAGATCCTTACAAAATTTGTTAACAATTGGTTCAGCTTTACATATATAAGACGATGGAAAATGGGTTTATATGTCCTTTGGGAAGGAGGAATATCTTTCTGTGGGTCCCCTCCTCCGTTAATTAAGGGTAGTCAATGCATTTGCTGTTACAGATGTACATAGACAATCGCTTCGCTATTTCGGCGAATTTAGGTGGTTGATTACTCGCCACCTAATAATATAAAAAAGTTTGTATGTCAAGGTTTTCTAATATGTTACCTAGGTATGGTGAGATCGCATACAGTGGCTAACCTCGAGATGGCAGGTCACAGGATGCTGGGGCACCAGTTGCAGCGCGACCGCAACTACGCCTCCGTGCCTCCGCCACAGCATCAACACCACCAGCACCAACAAGCCCAGGGTTACTCACAGCATCGTAAGTATACATACCAGCTGACGCCCGCGACTCCGTCTGAAGAGAATAAAAAAAAACTTAGTAAACTATTTGTTCTTCCAGACTATGTTCTATATTTATGCCAGATTTCAGCGAGATGCATTCAGCCGTTCTGGAGAAACCTTTAACAAACATCCATCCATCCATACACCCACACATCCAAACTTTTACAATTATGATATTAGTAAGATATATGTGTAGTGAAACAAATGAATTACTTTATTTTCTATAAAATGTTTCATACAGATGTCCGTTTAGTAAGACTTATTTGTCATTTCCTTTCGATGTCCATCCATCCATACATTCACCTAAAATTTCTAATTTATAATACTACAATGATATATCGTTCTTACTTTTACACGTTACCTTATTAGAAAAATTTGTAATCTTCTATCTTTATATATATAATTCTTCTGTGCATGTGTATGTCACTGAACTTCTCTCAAACGACTGGACCGATTTTGATGAAATTTTTTGTGTGTGTTCAAGGGGATCTGGGAACGGTTTAGATTCACAATTTTGTCCGCTGGACAATGTTTTTTTAATTAATTTTTAATTTATTAGTAGTTGTTGATTTTGGAATGTTTCACATTGGATCCGACAGACGGCGCTACCATCGCAGTGTCAAATTTTAAATAATATTCGAATTAAAGACGTGTAGACAGGACAACGTCTGTCGGGTCCGCTAGTAACTATATATAAAAGAAAGTCGTGTTAGTTACACTATTTATAACTCAAGAACGGCTTTACCGATATGGCTGAAAATTGATGAGGAGGTAGCTTAGAGCCAGGAGACGGACATAGGATACTATTTATTCATTTTTTTTCCAATTTATGCCTTGAAGAGTCGTTTTTTATTTAACTTACTAATATTATAAATGCGAATGTTTAGATGGATGTGATGTGGATGGATGGGTGGGTGTTTGAAGATATCTCTAGAACGGCTGAACGGATCTCGATTAAATACGTATAGAACATAGTCTGAAAGAACACATAGGCTACACTAAATAAGTTGTTTTATATATCCGCGCGGACGGAGTCGCGGGCGATAGCTAGTGACAATATACAATAAAAATCAAACATAAACCGGCGATTAATTTTAAATCAAACTAATAGCAGTCAAACGATAACAGAATGGTTTTATTAATAATGAATCGTTGGTAGTTGCGAGAGGCGCACAATGGCGGCGGGTAATTGCGACACGTGCGCGTACGTGCGACGTACCAACCGCCCCCATACAACACTGTATGTTTGCTTTTACTGTAAATTGTAATTTAAAATTATTGACTACTTTTTTGTATTAAAATTAATCTTAGATTCTGTTTGCGTTATTAAAACATTACAATCTTACTAATATTATAAACTAACTGTCGCCCGCGACTCCCTCCGCGCGGAATTAATAAAATACTTAGTAGCCTATGTGTTCTATCAGACTATGTTCTATATGTATGCCAAATTTTATCAAGATTCGTTCAGCCGTTCTGGAGATACCTTCAAACATCCATTCATCCATCCAAACATTCGTATTAGTATGATGTGAATCTGCAAAACAGTAAAATCTTGTTGAAATTTGACATGTCGAAGAATACATAGGCTACTAATTAAGTTTTTTATTTATTCCTCACAGACAGAGTCGCCGGTGACAGCTAGTCTATAATAAAAAAAGATGAATCCCATTTAATTTATCCTATTCTAAAAGAAAAATGTCATTCATTTAAAATGTCGCATAAAAAGTATTTAATAGTTAAAATGTTGTCAAGTGACAAAGAGTTGTACGTCGGCGATCACCACTCAGACGTGGCTTGCTAATTAGCGTGCGCCCATTGTACCCTTAGAGATGTTTGTAGCGACAATATCGCAACACAACATGTACATTGCTTGCTATGTATCAACAACGTCCCAACTGAGGGGCTCTGAGCCTTTTTTTGAGAGAGGAATGCTTTATGCATACTCCGCGCCCCGGCGGGGACTTATGTGGGATTCACCTCCATAGCGGAGGCATACCCACTAAACCTCTCTGTTCCTCCAACGCATCGGGACGAGGCCACGGGCACGCTTTCGCTCACGTCAGCGACCCCGTCTACGTCAGCTGCCGAGGCAGCTCTAGTAGTAGTAGTAGTAGTAGAGAGGTAGTCTTCAGTCGACGGTGATGGACTCCCATCCATCACCAAAGGGCTATTGTGGGGGGGGGGGGCGAAGACGGCGGCATATTGCCGCCTTCTCCTCAAGGGGAGGCTCTGAGCCTACCCTAAGTGACTAGGCCATAGTCAACGCTGGCCCAGAGCATATTGACTACACACATATCTTTGAATTTCTTCTCAGATATGTGCAGGTTACATCATGAATTTCTTTCACAGTAAGATAGACCTTAATGTATAGTGAATAGAGAACAGTGTTTACATTGCTGTGATGTTTTTACAAGCATTAGGCGAAAACAATACCCTAGAACGCATCTTTTAAATCTCTACGACAAAAGATCGGTCAGTGGTACACGATTGCTTTTTAACTTTACAATAGTTTGCGCAATTTAATGCTACATAATTGGTTATTTTGTTAAATGGGGAGGGTTTAATTTTGTTGCAAGGAACCACGTACGGAGTCTACCCTAAGTTAAGGGTGAATAGGCCATAATCAACCACGCTGGCCAAGTGCGGGTTGGTTGACTTCACACATATCTTTTGAATTTCTTGAATACACAGAAACATTATTTCTATTCAAGTAACGTCTGTTAATTTTGTGTGTACAAAACAGTACGCCTTTTCATTCTATATCAATTTACATTTTATATTTAAAAGTTAATTACAGATATTAATTTGTACTGAATTATTTAACAAACCGCGCAATGTATGTTACACAATTATAAAACACGTAACGCAATAAAATTGTCATAGTACAAGGTTTGAGAGCGTCACTTGTCGGACGGATCCGTTCTTTTGTTTTATGTAGTTGGTAGCAGCGCTGACGAACTGTTGGCCCGCATTGTTCCCATTTTATTGTCGGAGTAATTAAATGCAAGCGCGTGGACGAACCCGGGGGGGGAGTAGAGGTTGTGAGATGAAGGGGGCAGGGGTATAGAGGACGCAAGGTTTTTCATGAACACGTACAGTTTCGACAGCGCTAAATTGCTTGTCACTAGTCTATTGATATCATTTGCAGGTGGAAATTGCTACCGTGTTGCGTATTTTTTTTGCGATTTTTATGTTAGGGTTTATCGCCATACTTTTGTTAGGATGATTATAAAAGTTATGCTACAGTCAACACAACTCAGATTGGCTGCTTTTGCAGTTGCTAGTGGCTACATCAAAGCGTTAATTTGTACTAACGAATCCTACTTCTTACTAATATTATAAATGCGAAAGTTTAGATGGATGGATGTTTGAAGGTATCTCCGGAACGGCTTAACGGATCTTAAAATATAGCACACATGTAGATAGTCTGGAAGAACACATAAGCTACTATTTGCGTTTTTTATTTCGCGCGCACGGAGTCGCGGTCGACAGCTAGTTCGATTATAAGATGTTTTAGTGACATTCTACTTCGATAGTTGATAAGTTACGCTTCGTATTGACATGTTTAAAGACGTAATATTACGTAAATGTTAAGCTATTCTTTACGTCTATTATTACGACTAATTTTGTAACAATTTCTGAATAGGTTCTCCGTCTAATAGGAAGATGTTTATGTCAACAAAACGGGACAGTAATTATCTATAGTACGTTTAATCGCACGATCTTAAAGAAATCTTGCCGACAATATTAACGTTGAAATGATTCCATTATTCAAAAAAAGAAATTCAAATTGGCCTATGCGTTAGGCATTGACGTGTAATAGCGCGCGAAAGCAAACAGGAAACGCGTAGGGACGCCATTGTCCGGCGCAGTGTCGCCAACTACCAAAACAATAATTATCTAGGGTTGCTAGTTGAATGGAATGAGTTTTTATGGTTCCGTCAAATAATGGACCGGAGGCTTTTAATTTTTTGTGCAGTACGATATTGTTTTTTTTTAATATCAAAATAGTTTAACTCAAACAAAAAAATGATAAAAACAAACTCCTATTTTTCTGTGGTATGATTTAATAATTTATTCTCTTACTAATAGTTTAAATACGAAAGTTTGGATGGATGGATGTTTCATAGAAGGTATCTCCAGAACGGCTGCATGGATCTCGCTGGATGTAGGAAATAATCTTGAAGAACACGTAGGCTACTAAATAAGTTTTTTTTTTAATTCGGCGCGGACATATTCGCGGGCGACAATTAGTGATAAATATTTTCATTCCATTCCTTTTCTATTTGTATATTAATTTTCAGTTCAATATTATCCCCTATTTTATCTGAAAAATAAATATATTATAGAGAACCCAGTCACCCTAATGCGTTTCGTAGTTGACAGTTGACTAAATAACGGCTCGATCGACTGAAGTGGTTCCTATTATCAGGCGAGGGGTGATACTGTACCCGTTTTTTTTTGCACCCCAGTACCAGGTGGGCGTGAAGGTGTTCTAATGCCTGTTTTACTTACCTTTTTATCTTCTATAATCCGATATAGATTGCTCCCGTATTTGATAAAAAAGATTAATACCAGAAAAAAAAGATAAGTGTCTGTAGAGTTTAGCGGAACTGATTACTCCATCCGTTTTAAAGTGCTTTTGAGGTCTTCAGTCTTTATTTGACTGAAGACCTTAAAACTGTTGATATAATATAATGGTCAATTAAAAAATAATTAGTAGCCTATGTGTTCTTTTAGATTATGTTCATTATATAGGCCAAATTTCAATGAACTTCGAACAGCCGTTCTGGAGGTATATTCTAATATATATATATATATATTAGAATATACCTCCTTATAATATATATATATATTATATATATATATATATATATATAATATATATTATAATATAAGGTGACAAACGAGCGAGCGGCCACATGAAATCGCTGAAATAGCGAAGTGACCGTTGCCCATAGACATACGCAAATG